ATATATATATATATATATATAAGGAATTGTCCTAATATAAAAACTACACTCTTTATAATACGTCTATATTGCTAAAAAATGAAATGCTGTTGAAAATGAGCAGGTGATAAAAGAAAACAGAAAATAAACTTACTGACGTGTAGCAAAAGTAAAAAATTCCTTAAAAATAGATATACTAATTATACGGTTAACAAAAATCTGATCTGTTCTAATTTTCTGTTTTCTGCTTGATATATTTTATTTCATATATTTTTTATTTCATATATTTTTTACTTATAGTGTTCGAATTTCGTTTTAATTTTTTTGATTGTTCCTCATACTATTGTACTAATTTATTTTGCATTTGCTATATTAATATAATATTAGAAAATACTCCTTTTTGCGTATATTATCTTGTCAACTGATGACGAGATTGTATCTTTTAATTATTTTATATTCCAGCTTTTCAATATTTTTTTATACAAAAAAAATTTGATTAAATATTTTTAAAAACATTTTATTTTACTAATTTGTTTTCTCCATCTCTTTTCATCAATCTTTATTGCATTAACTTCCATGTTTTCTTTATATTTATAACTTATTTCATGTGTTCTGAAAATATTTTTTCATGTAAAAAAAAAAAAAAAATTGACAGGATTGGTGCAAAACCATGAAACGTTGAAAGATCTAAAATAAAAATTGAAAGAAGATTAAATTTATTTGCATCTCTTCTAATAATAATTTTAAAAAAATGTTTCAGAAATGAATGATCAAAAAATAAGAGAGACTTTTTTGAAAAAGTTATTAAAAATTAGTTGCCTAAATTTTTTAAAATCTTACAAATTTCCTTTTCGTCTGTCTGCAATCAAACAAGCATGGATTTATAAAACAATCCATTCTTTAATGTATTAAAATTATTAGTAAAAATAAACCAGCATTAATAAAAAAATTAATTCAAAAAAGTACAAATTAGAAAAGTAGTTTTAAAATTTTATTTTTGAATTTATCAATTTATTTTATTTTGTCAAAAACCCCAACAGATCTTTTCATAGGATGAGGTAGAGGTGAATCCAACCAGAAAAAAAAACATTCCTCAAAATACTTCAAAAGTTATGTTTCAAATTTGTTTCTGTAATTTTTGAAATTTTAAAAAAACAATTTCTATCATTTATTCACTGTCTTTAAACGAGCGAAATTAGAAGCAAAGTTTTTAATTTTGAAAAAATTTAAATTTTAAGAATGAAAAATTTTAAAATCAAACACCGTTTTAATTCTTCAATAAAAGTAGTACTTTATTTATATCTCACTTTGCATTCTTTAACCTTTCTATGGTATAAGCACACACAAACACAAAAATAAAAATTGCTGTTGTATATATATATATATATATCTGTGCGTGTGTATATATATATACATATATATATATATGTGTGTGTGTGTGCGTGCGCGCGCGCGCGTGCGTGTGTGTGTATGCATGTATGCATGCATGCATAAAGAGACAAAAAAGAATAAAAGTAAAGAGAGATTGACAAAAATATTAAGAAAAACAATAAGTTTTATTTACTGCGCATAAGTTGCAAGTTACATAGTAGCTATAGAATAAGTTAAAAATAAAAATAAATCATGGGGGAAGTTATATTTTTAAAGAGAAGAAGAAAAAACTTTAATAAATAAAATGCTTTTAAAAATATTTAAATATTAAAAAAATATGAAATAAAAAATAAATAAAATTTAGAAAGCCGAGAAACAAAATATGGAAAAGATATGAACAAAATATGGAATGTAATCTCCGCGTCGGCTCATATGATTATAACTGCAAAAAAGAGTGCTTACTAATATTGTACTAAAATAGTCAAAGCAAAATTTATCAATACAATACTGTGAGGAGCACCAAAAATATTGAAACGAAAATAAAACATATCAAGCAAAAAATAGGAAATAAAAATTCAATAAAAATACAGAATAAAATACAAAATGTAAAATATATATTGTTCAAAAATATTTTATTTATTAATAATTTTTCTTCCTCTCTTTAAAAAAAAGTTTTTTTTTCCCTCGTTTTTTTTGTATTTTTAAATATATAGTATCTAAGAAAGAGAGAGGCATATAATCCTTCATTTGATGGGTTGATTTAAAATTGTCCTTTGCATTCCCCCCTCCCTCGCCTTGGAGACACCTCGATAAAGAAATAAAAATGTTTAGCTCAACAACACTGTATATAATTAACAACAATCCACACAGTATAATTAGTCGTTTTTAATTAGGCTCGAAAAAAATTACAATAATATTCTATTATTGTTTGGGAGAAACAACTAATTACATAGGGTTCGAAACGAAAATCGTAATGAGTGGTAAGGTGTCAGTTCACCTGCCACTCTTAGAAATAATCACCGGTTCCTTTGGAACGATATCTTAATTAAGAGTGACATGCATTCCCCCTTTTTGATTGCTCCATTGACGTGCTCCTCCCACAACGAAGGCGTCAACACTCCCATCCAATAAGAGAACTTTCTACCGCCCTCAAAGAAAACACCGTGAAGAAAGATTCCAAACAGTTCGGCAAATATTTTTCATGGAAAAAATGTGTGTTCAAATCCAAGGAATATGCAGCTAAGTTGTAGCGTGGATATGGAAGAGTCGAAATCGTGTATATCTTTTTCTGTGGACTATTTATTAGCAGATACTAGAAAAACACATATTCCAAAACAATTCTCAGTGGACAGAATTTTAGAAGAACGATTGCCGGGACCCTCAATTGATACTCCTTGTTGGTCACATCCTCTTGAATCAACATTTTCTTGGATTCCTAGATCTCCCAGTAAGTTATTCTAAATAATTGGATTCTGTCCTGTATGTCTCCGTGTTGTGTAAACTTAAAAAGTTCTTTCAATTAATCCAAGATATTGTGCTATAAATAGAGATTTATAAAACGATTTTAAAAGCTATGGTAAACAGTCATAAGACATAGCGTAATATTGACTGAGTTATAAATTGATTTAAAAAATATTAATGCAGCAATAGAGAATTGAGTAAATAATTAGAGACTTATAGAAGGATTTAAAAATTATTAGAGAGCATTGCGTAATAATTAAAGAGTTATACAAATGATTTAAAAAGTATTGGTAAGCAACCAAGACACATAGCTTAATATTGAGAGAGTAATTTAAGGAATATTAAAGAGCAAAAGGAAATTCAGTTAATAATTAGAGACTTATAAAATGATTTAAAAATTATTGGGGAGTTACGTAGTAATTGAAGAATCTGGTTGATCGTTTATAAGTATTCGCCAGCAGCAAAAGAACACAATGTAATAATTAGAGAGTAGTAAAAATGATTTCAAAAATATGGGTAAACAACCAAAGAACATTGCGTAATATTTAGAGAGTTATGAATTGATTTGAAAAATATTAAAGCAGCAAAAGAGAATTTAGTTAATAATTAGAGGCTTTAAAGATTATTAAGAGCCTTGCTTAATTATTAAAGAGTTATAAAATAGTTTAAAAATTGGCAAGTAGCAAAAATACATAGTGTATTTATTAAAGAGTTATAAAAATGATTTAAAAAATATTGGTAAGCGGCAAAAGGACATCGTTTATACGACGCCGAAGGGACCACCGAAAAACGTCGTATAAACGATAACGTCGTATAATCGATTTTTACTTCTAAAACTGAAACTAACTCTGTTTTCAGTTAATTTTAATGTTTAACGTGTTGATTTACATAAATTTCTAAATTAGACAAAGCAAAACAAACAAATAACCAAAGAAGAAAAATTGCAGTGAGCAATTTGAATGTATGTTACCTTTAATTATATTTTCTTGCTATTAGTCTCTACAATGCTTTGAATAGCGAGTTGAACTTACTGCTTTCTATGATGCAATTTTAGATTTCTAATCACGGCCAAATCTAATGGCTGAAGCGCACTTGTGCAATTTGCAGGAAAAAAGAGAGCTTTAACATTTTCCAAAATAATTAGTATCGATGGGTGCGCTGGACATTGGTTGATGAATAGCAAAATTTTTCGTTTTTGCCTCTTCATAACATTGTTTAGTTTTTTCAGTCATCTAGTAAAAATTACGGTCGTCATCCAAGCATTCTTGTTGGCACCCTTTTCTGTATCATTCATGTTGGCAAATTACGCCCTTTTTTAAAATACACAAGAAAAAAATTAAATAAACGTGAACAAAATCTAAAACCCGACGTATAACCGATTGTGTGCGTCGTGTAAACGATATATTTTTACATTAAAATGAATAGGAATGATTTGGGACCACACTAAAACGTCGTAGAAATGATCGTCGTATAAACGATACTCCATTGTATTAGCAAATAATGATCTCAAAATATTAAATTAACAAAGGGGAATAAAGATAACAATTAGGGAGTTATAAAATGATTTAAAAATTATTTGAGAACAAAAAAAATAAAAAAAGAAATTACGTAAGTAAAGAGCTTTAAGATAATTTAAGAATGTTAGCAAGCAGCAAGAAGACATAGCTTAATAATTAGAGAGTTATAAAATGATTTTAAAATATTAAGTCAACAAAAGAGAGTCGAGATAATAATTTGAGAGTTTTAAAATCATTTAAAAAATATTAGTTAGCAACAAAATGACAACAGGGAACTATGAAATAATTAAAAAAAAAAACATGGCAAACAGGAATAGTAAATTACGCAATAATTACTGAGTTATAAAATGATTTAAAAAATATTGGTAAGCACCAAAGGAAAATTGAGATAATAATTCCTTGACATGAAATCTGTGTTGCGGCATCGTATTAAGGTTGTTTCTCTGGATATTCCTGAGTCCTGGACCCTCAATCTTTGTTCTGAAAAAGTATAGCAATAAGTATGACAAAAAAAAGAGGAAAAAAACTGATTTGGACTAGCATTAATTTAAAATTAATATTAAAAGAAGTTAAATGTCGATGGTGAGTAAACATTTTTAAGTTTAACCTAATGAATAAAATTAAGTTTTAATTGAAATAATTCGTTATAAAATGTTGCTCCAGACAATAATTCGAGACATTCAACCAAAAAGTAATTGAAAGAGTAAACAAAGTCTTTTTGTCTTTTTTCATCCATAAATAATTATATATCTTAATTATTTAGTTTGTGGATAAGAAAAAAGTTTTATCTGGCATCTCTTGTAACACCGGTTTAAATAAGACTTATTGAAATATTCTGCTCTCTTTTTATATTACAACTTAAATAAGCTGTAATTTATAAAGAGAGAATAATATTTTAATAAGTAATAATTTTGAAAGTTCGTTAAAAAGTCAGTTTCTCAGGAAAATCAGTTGAATGTTTGAGCCATAATATGGAGTAAATTTTTTGCAACTTTAATAGCATGTTAAACTGAATATAGTTCATATTGAACCTTAGTATCATGAAATCAAGTTCAAGACGCACAATAATATGCTTCAATTTGGCATCGTATTAAGGTTGTAGCAAAACTTTATTATGGGTTCCGAAATTTCCAAAAGCTTTCTATTTAGAGGAAATTTTTTTATACCGAATTCTGTTTCACCTAATTTGAAATATAGAAAAAGAGTGAGTTCATGCAAACCTAGAGTAAGCCGTGAAGTTCCTGAAAACAAATTTCAACAAGTCAAAATGCGAACAAATTATCGGAGGAAAACTTCCCTATTTACGTAATCCTAAGTTATCCTTTCAAAATTTGTCTTCATTTTGATATTTTGAAAATTTCTTTTCAGTGTTTGAAACTTCATGGCTTACTCTGGGTTTGCTTGATCTCACTTTTCCTATACTTTAAATTTTGAATTACTTATGGAGGTGAAAGAATTTGCCATAAAAAGTTTCTCCCGAGCTATAACGTCCTCCTAATACATAAGTTAAATATATGAAATAATTATTCCGGTTGGATATTTTATTTACTTGAAGGATACGGAAATTTCTGTGCTCTTTACGAAATAATTTTTTTAGCACTAGATCAGTAAATGAATTTTTCTAACTGTTAGGAGACTCCCTATAATTTTATATGGATATCAGGTTTTCAATTCAGCTACATGTCTTGTTGGTTTTATTTTAGTTTATTTTTTATCCAGGAAAATTTTTTTTCCTCAACCTAATGATAAAAGTAAACTTTAAAAAAGTTATTCAAAAATACCTAAATTTCTGGAGGGGTTAATAAAAAGCCAATATTTAGAAGATAATGAAACACATAAAACGCGTTTTTCATATATTTCTTTACTTACCTATTCTAAAGTTTCATAAAACAAAGATTTTTTACTCCATTTCAGCTTTTTGATACCAAAGAATTTTTCCGAAAAAAATTATTTTTTGATTAGTTAATGAACAAATTTCAAGAAAGAAATATTCATAAAATTGAACTAGTGCTACCATTTGGATTTGAGGCGATGTTTCACCGCGTGCTTTTTATTTATAAGAAATGCAAAGGAAAATAAATAAATAAATAAAAATTAAATAAAATCTTTTGATTTTTAGTTTTACCTTCTTTGAGCTACCGACTACAGAGAATTATTTCCTTGGTGACTTTTTGCTTTAATTCCTGGTTACGATTCTGATTTCGAGTAATTAATTTCAAGCAAACTGATTCCAAGTAAATTGTTGATATTTTTTTCAATTTTTTTTTTTTACATTTTTCTCTTGTAATAAAGTATCTCGCCCTTTGAAGTCTTTTGTAACTCGATGGCATTTTTTAAGCACGAATCTCACGAAACTATTATTAAAATGCGTAGAACACTTTGGAACGTTAAATAAAGCCATAGCAGAATGCACTGAATGATTTTGATTAAAAGTCATCAGATAGATCTTTTTAGAAATTCCTTCTTTATCAAGTAAAGATGTATCAATAATCGAAATGAATTTAGTTGCTGAATAAATGATAAAAAAAAAAATAATTTTTTCAAACGTGAACTAGATTCTCTTTTTGCAAATATTTTACATTAATGTTAGAAGATTTAATTTTTTCAACAAGGCTGACTATTGATCTTCCGTTATATGAAAAATTATGACGAAAAATACCATATTAATAATTATCAACAATTTTACTTTGGCTCCAGTTAGGCTCAAAATTAGCTCAATGTGGGTCCTATAAGAACATGTACCAAGGGATCAATATAGGATGTCGAGATTTTTTAATATTGGTCTTAGAATGTTCTATATAGGGCTAATATAGAGCTTATAGTGGCTGAATGATGAACTTAAAATATCGGGTGAATCTGACAATTCTATATAAGACCGATATTGGCTCTAAAGTGGCTGTAAAATATCGGGTGAATCGGACAATTCTATATAGTGCCGATTTTGGCTGTGAAGTGATTGTAAAATATCGGGTGAATTGAACAATTCTTCGGGTGAATTAGACAATTCTTTATAGAGCCAATATCGGAAGAGTCATGATTCGGGAATATTATTCCAATGAGGGCTTAAGTTATTTTGTGGCTAGGATTTATTCAAGAACATCATGAGATAATTCGCTCACTCTCTCTCTCTCTTTTTTTTAAAGTTTTGAACTTTCTTTTTGTTTGAAAATTTTCAACTAATATGCTCAAAATAAAACATTTAGTGAAAAATGACACCTCAATGAAAAAATGCTCGGTTTTTGTAAGCCTTGTTCTCTCTCTTTGATATATTAAGTGAAACTAATGATCACACTTATTATGTATTTTTAGAATCCTTCTTAAAAATGAAATAAAAAATACTATGCACATTAGGGGTCGCAAATTATATTTACGAGAAGTAAATAGACCGTATAGGTGCAAACATTTATAATTTGAAAAAGCATTTAAAAATGTTTCTCTTTTTACAAAAACAAACCAAGTTGACTTTTCTAAAAATGAGTTAAATATTTTACAGCAGCAATGTATAAGCTTTACAAGCTCTTTAAAGTTGAAAACAATTCAAATATACAAGGTGTCACATGATGATCACCCGTAATATATATTCGAAGATTCCTTGCAAAAAAAAGAAGTAAAAACTATGCTTATTAGGAGTCATTAATAAATTTAAAAAAAAAAAGAAAAAAAAATTGATTAACCACTATTGAGGTTTGAAGGAGTCGAAGGCCAGATACACAATAATTTATCTGTTCGTTAGAAAAAGTCTTTAACCCTCTAGCTGAGCAATTTTTTCGCTTTCAAAATAGGTTCAACAATTGCGTTTATTTATTTATTTATTTTTATTAATTACGTCTTTCAAATCTGCAAATATTTTAAAGTTCAAATGTACAAAAAAAAATTCAAAAGAAAAATTTTTTTTTTCGATGAAGAATTAGATTATTAAAAAAGGCCGTCGGAAAACTCAAATTGAAGAATAATCATATAAGTGTAAAATTTTCACAATATATCTTGGGTAAATTATTATTTATTTCATAAAAAACATAGGTAAACCTATAAACTAATGAAAGTATGCAAAAAACTTAGTAAAACATTTATTATAAATGAAGTTTAGTGTCATAAACTTCAAAACATGGCTCGAGGTATAGTCCTACCTTGCAATCTTTGTACGCGTTTATTCGCGATTTTTTTTTTTTTTTTTTTTTTACAGCGCATTTTGTAATGAGCACGCAAAATGCTGCAAAACTTGCTTGCATATTCCAAGGAAATAGGGACAATTAACACCATCTGTTAACCCAGATCTGAACAACACAGAAAAGCGAAAATGAAACCTTTACGGGAAAAGAGCGGGTTGCACAGTTAAATAGATGGAAAAGATGCATTCTCACAAAAATCGTGAACTTTGCTAATTGATACGCAGCAAGAGGGGAAAATTTTCTCCCTAAAAAAACTCGCTTTAATTTTTTTTAATTATTTTTATTCTTCTTTTGTTTTTATCGACCAAAATAGTTAATGGGGAAAATGTAAACATTCATTTGAAAACGGTTTTTCTCCTTTCTCATTTAAATTTCAATTTTAGGCCGGACATATTTTTTTACTTCATTTATTACTCTGATTCTAAAATTGTTAGTTAAGGACGGATACTGTGTTTACTTAACTAATATATTTATTGCGGAACTAACGTACTGATGCAAAACATGTTGTGTTTTAGTATGTGGGTGCTTGGACACAATAATATTGGAAATTTACGTCCCTTTTACTATTTTTAAAAAAAATACTGTTTGTAACTCTCTTTTAATTGATTTAAAAAGCAAATTTTTACCTCAACTCAAACAAGAGTAAACGTATGTTTCCTTTCACGTATGTACCAAACGTTTGTTCGCTTTTTTCTTTATCTATCTCATTTGTCACATCTGATGTATCTCAAAAATTTTGAGATATTCACTAATACTGATAGGAGGCTAGTTAGGAATCAAAATATACGTTCATAGAGAGCTGCATATGCAATGGCATCATTTAACCATTTTGGCTTCACCGGGACATATATGTCCCGCATATGAAATCTCCACTGGGACATTTGTGCCCTCTCAAAAAATTCGGACAAACACATATGTCCCAGATTCGCTTCCATTAAGTAATATTTAAGTTAATTAATTATTTATTTAAATAGTTAATATATAATAGTTAATTTAGTATTTTATTTCGGTAGTTATTTTTACTTTATTTGATCTGTTAAAGTCGTAATTTATCTTTTCATTGGAAAAGAAAAAACCCGCCTTGAAAGGGTTAAACTTTCTAAATTAGTTATTTTTGAAGAGGTCAGTTATGTGATGTAAGAGGTAATGCCTTTACAGCAACTATCCTTCTTACAAAAAAAAAAAAAAAAAANAAAAAAAAAAAAAAAAAAAAAAAAAAAAAAAAAAAAAAATGCTAAAAACCAAAACATTTATGAAAATAATATAGCATCTTCATATTAATGTTCAGATAAATATTTTCTTCTGTATTGA